GGCTTTGCCGTCACTCTAGGGCACTAACTTCTCAGAAGTTGTGTGGAGGTGTGTTGGCGTTTGATCAAGTGTGGATCAACGCAGTGTGAAGTATAATGGTGTGTGATCCATTATACTGCGGTGTCATGTTGGTGGCGTGTAATCCTTCATGACTTAGTGACAGTGTGGTCGGGGTTCCCCGTTTCTCCTTGGTTAGCGAATCGACTGCTAGATGGGAAGACTCGGAGGTGGACGGGCCTTTCTAGCCTGGCCGAGTGCTATCCGACGGGATAGTCGGGAATACCAGAGGAGTCATGGTATGTCCCGCCCGGGATGTGAATTCACTTGGCGGCTCTCGGATGGAAACCCCACCGAGATGTGAACCGACCGAGGAGCTCCCGGGGTAAACGATGTTCCGGCTTGGCTTGTTTGTGTGATAGCCAAGTGCAGGGTGTTCGTAGTAGTGATGTTCCGGCTTGGCTTATCTTTGTGATAGTCAAGTGCAGGGTGATCGTGGAGGGGAACCGGCCGACCCACTTAGAGATCTATGTGTCCACGCGAGTGAGGCGTGTGGTAGTATGTGTGCGTTGAGAGAACACGGTTGGGTGCAAAAGTGGTAGAACCTTTGCATATAGTTTAGTTGCATATAGATCTAGGATTGCATGCTTCGACTATTTACTTTATGTTGTTTCAGCTGTTGCGTGTTTACTTGCTTTCTTGCTTGTTTCTTGGGGTTTCCTAGGTGTTTTAGGTGTTATACTGTTAGAGAGTCATGGACTCACTGAGTAATCTTAGATTACTCATCCCCCTTTTTCCTTCCTACTAGGTAACCCGTAGATGACCTTAGTAAGCGGAACGGAACGTTAGGACACCAGAGTAGTTTTGCGTTGGTTTTTGTAAAACTCGGTTGTGAGATAAAGTATGTACGAGACGTCTTGATTTGGGTTTACCCTCCGCTGCAGCATTATATAAATGGTTTGTAAGAACGTATTTTCGGAAACGATATGGTATTAATATTAAGTACGTTTTTATAAACTTAGGCTTGTTTAATGATATTAGTCTAGCCCGGACTAACACAACTCGAGATCGGGGTACGGGTTGAAAAGCCTTAGGCCTTGGTCGAGAGGGTTCGAGTTATCTTGGCAAGACGACCTTATGCTTGGATTCGTTCTGAGACGGGCTGACTTATCGAGTGAACCTCGGCTTTGTGTCATCCGCGGTTCGGTCTTGGGTACAGATCGAATCGGGGGTGTTACAGATATGACATACCTTCTATATTGGAAAAGATTATGTTGACGAGAAAATCGACGATGACGATTTGTTATGGGGGTTTGTATCTTCAATTGCAGTGGAAACGAGGAATCAAGAGATGGAGTTTGGGAATTCAAGACGAGATTCAACGAAAATGGAATCTAGTCAACAGCAGAGAAGACAGTAGTGGTGATCTTTGTGAGCAGCAGCAAGATTCTAGAGTTTTGGTCGGCCAAAGAAGATTTTTTTTGTTCAGAGGTGTGGTTTTTTTTTACATAGAACGTAAAATAAAAGAAATCTTACGGAGAGTGAGAGAAGGAGAGGGTATAAACGTCTTTCTAAATGCTGAAAGTGTGCTATATATCCAAAGTGTGTTATTATGTAAAGTAAGTTCAAAATAGTGTGTATAAGTGTAAAATTCTCAACTTTTGTGCTATATAATATTGTTTTTGTCACTTGTAATAAGTGTAGGTAAATTGACAGGGTAAAGTATCAGGTGTCATGGTTGCAATTCTCCCTGTGATATATATATTGAACATCCCTATCAATTTAGTTTAACAATATCAAGATATTATTTCCGAGAGAATATATGAGAAAATTGAGGAAAAGTAACATTTTTTTTTAAGTTTTAGACATCAATATTCTTTCCAATTAGTTAGAAATGTTTTCGAAAAAAAAATAGCATTCCTCCAAAATTATGTGGAGTTAACACCTTAAACTAAAAAAATAAATGTAATTGACTATTCTTTTGGATTGCTCTAGAAATCTTACATTTAATTCTAATTAGCATTCTTTGAAATTATATGAGACCCACTAAATAGGTAGGAAATCCCTTTATATTCCATTCATTAATATTCTTTTGATTTCTTTCACATACAACCATTTGCATCCAAAATTATGAATTAAGTGAATAACAAAGACTGCAAAATAACTGAAATCTTAATTAATTTCTTTAAAAATTCTCTTAAGAACTTTTATCTTTATTTTACTTTTCCATAAATTTTATTTGCCATTGAAATCAAGCAAGTCAAGAATAATTAACAAAAAATGACGAACAATTTGACATATATAGTCTTAAGGTGGGGGTATTTAAACTCTAATTTGAGAAGATTTAGATGATTTTATGTGGATTAAGGAAGTCGTTATGATTTGGTATTTAAAATTATATGAAATTTCACCTAAAATAATGAAATTTGGTTTTTTATATTTTTAACTAACAAACTTCACGTAAATCATTTAAAATCACTCAATATTTTTAAAAATTCACTATTTAAAATATTTTCAATAAAAATAGATTTGATTTAGTTTTTACAAATTCTTGATTAAATAACATAAAATTTTATGTTCAATAACATAAATTTTGGTAAAATATTTAGAAATCATTAGTTGAATAAGATGAAAATTTAATATAATCATAAAGTTTTTTTAAATTTCAGTTTCAATATATCCCCTAAGTGTCTAACACACACTTAGCCACGACACAGAAACTATTTCTCCTCTTCATTACTGATCTTTTGATCGGTTAGCCCCTAAAAATAATCTCCTCTTATAAAAGCCCTGAAGAACATCTCTGGAGTTTTTTTTCTCTCTCTCTAACCTTCGCACTCGCCTCTCTCTGACTTTAGATCCACTGCTGCTTTGTTTTTTACCGATTCTGATGGCTTCCTTATCACCGGAGTCGGTTTGGCTTTGGTTTTCTTTTACAGCTTTGTTTTCTGATCGGTTTGGCTTTGGTTTTCTTTTACAGCTTTGTTTTCTGGTCGAGGATATGGTAGATCTTTTGGATATTGATATAAGATTAGAATCACACCAAATCTTATTGGTCACAAGATGTCAAAGTTTACAAGCTTGTAGTGGAAGATGACCGTAGGTAAAGATGGAATGGTGGAACTTGTGTTTGACTCACTCAGTTGGTGGGTTGACTGACTCACTCAGTCGGTAGGATGGCTGACTCACTCAGCCGTTGAAACTACACTTGTCTGAATCACAAAAACAATTATATTCCAAAAATCAATATAAACAAATGAATCTAAAGACAAGAATAAACAAAGCCTAAGCTTTTAGAGAAAAAATTTCTTTTATTTTCCAAAAATTTCTATATATCTTTATAATGAGAATAGATGAGTTTTTATAGCTCTTACAAAGAATCTTTACAATAAATTATATTTAGTTAAATTATTTATATTTAACCAAAAGGAGAAAAATAAGCTAAATCAAAGAAATGTCTTCTTGTCACTAATTTTGCTTTGGACTTGAATGAGAATCATTTGACTTTATGAAATTATGAAGACCAGATTCTAATAATAATATACATATTGAAGAAATTTAATTTACTGAATTTTGATATTGTATCAGATATGGGTGTGGTGTGGGTTGTTGGGGTTCGGTGAAGCTTGCTTCATCACATCTTGCTCCGATCGGCTCATAGTTGTCTCATTTTTCTTTTTTTGTTTAGATAGGTGTGTATCATGAAGGGTTTCGAGTTGTTTTTATGCCCTTCTAAAGAGAGTTTGATTTCTTTCTTCTTGATTTTATGCCTCCTGTCTTGCAATTTTTTATTTTCTTTGTTGGTTCTGCTATAAGTGCTCTTCATCTTTTCTTTTCGGCCGGTCTTGTTCTGTGTGCTGTTCTGATTGGGTGTTTAAGCTTGATCTCTTTTCAAATATGTTGAGATTTGAATGACTTTTCTTTGGATCTTCTATCTAGGCAAAAATGGGGGTGCATGTGTGCGTTCTGCAGCTGCATCCGGGAGTTTGGTGAACCTTTTGGTGGATCTATCTTGTCGGATTGTGAAGTCTTCGATTATTGGTTACAAGAAGAAGATGTCACTGTTCCATGGGTCGTGGACGGCAACGGTAAATCTCACTTATAGGTTCTAGAAAGTTGTAAAGATATGCAGATTTGGAGGCTAGTCATTGATTAGATTTAAGTTAAATTAGTTCTGTTTTAGATGAGTTTTTATTTATAATTTTTTTATGATTTCATCTCGTATTAGTCTTTGCATCCTGTTATTAGGGATTTTGTTTTCGGAAAGGTTTTGTCCTTTGCCAATCTTGTATTTCATCTTGTATTTCACAATCGTATCTCCTTTTGAATGAATTCTATCAGATGAAAGAAAAAACGCCCTGAAGAAAGTAATGCCTAACTACTCGTGTTGATTGATATATTCCTTGAAACTTGAAAGAGACTTTGGTTGTCTCAATGGTTAGGTAATCTTTTTCCCCCTTCTCTATACCAATGTAAGCGAATGGCACGGAGAATGAATCCTCTAAAACAAACAATCTCATTCTTTGACATGGCCCATTTTCCTTAATGAGTATATACCTTTTAGGCTTTTATGAATGCAAACAGCCCATATGATAAGCGAAGGTAGACACTGATTTTTGCAAATGATGGAAAGAAGTAATTTAGATTCGCTGAAGATTAGAGCTTATCCACTGTTCTAGATCAGATTGGCATGCCACAAATTTTCCAAGAAAGTGTTGGTCAAAAGGATAAAACAGAGAACAGAAAAATTCCCTTCAAAAACCAAAGCTAAATTCTTGGGAACATCTTTAAGGAAAAGTAAAAACAAGATAGAAACTTTAACCGCCCTAAAAAGATAGTAACAGTTGTAACCACTCGCATGTCCTAAGCAAGGGAACGAATCCTCAGAAAAAGAAAGTGAGACTGAGAGATTTTGTCATTTTTGAGATGCTCTTCACACTTTTAGACAGCTAAAAAGCTTAAAAATCAAAAGAGTAAAAAATAAAGAACAGATCCAAACACACCACAACTGAAACTAACAACTTTGAATCATTCATTGATCGGTTTAAGAGAGACACAAGATCGATCGATAAATCGATATCATTTCTTATATCACAGGTCACAAGAAAGAACACTTTTCTTTGTATAGAACAAAACCAAGATAAGTCTAAAACCAGTTTTCTTCTTATCTATTGCTATAGTGTTGTCTTTTGTCTATTGCTATTCATCTATAGTTTCCTAAGGACTCTAAAACAAAAAACAAACACACAAAACGGAAACAAGAACGGACCAGAGAGTATTGAGGAAATGAATCAAATGATCGGAGCAGGAGGAGTTTCCCAAACATCAAACACATTCTCTTCACTATGCAATGCGAAAAGCCGATCCCCACCAATGGAGAAATCACAAATGGAGCCACCGTAGCTTCTCCTTAGCCTAGAGGTTAAAACCCAGTCCGGTCCACAAAACACAGAGATTGTATCATTCATCGAAGAGAAAAGCTGTCCTTCGTGCAGCGCGAGCTTCGGGTAACAAGGCTCGTCAGGCATCTTGCTCTTCATCAACCTGCTCCTCGAACTCCACCTCACGCTTCCTCCATACATCCTAAGATCAATAAACCCCAAATCCTCAAACTCATTCACAACGCAGATCGAGTTGCTATCTTCCATAGCTATAGCATCTCTCACCCTCTTCTCGTCTATCGCCATAGGAGAACCAATATCCGACCAAGTCCAAACCATGTTTTTGTCTCGAAAATCAAGCAAGCTAATGTAACAGTTGTCTTTTCTTGGAAACAAAGTAGCTACAAGAAGACAGTTCTTACCATTCAACCACTGAAGCTTATCAGCATCACCTAATGACCAACCTGGACTCTCGTAGAAGAAATCGGTTTGTTTTCCGGTTAACTGATCCCAAACTCCGATCCCGTACTCGTTACTCCGACCTTTGCAGCTCGAAAAGATCTTATAATCCGGATTAAAGCTCAAAGCTCCTGCTGTGTAACTCTTCACCTGATTCTCATGACATACCTGAAACTTATACCGGAGATCCCCTGAAGACGAGCTGAACAGCCCCATGCCTCCGTCTCCTCTCCCCAATTTTTCGCAGGCAGAGAGTACGATGTTGTCTGAATCAATCCAGCCAACATCGTTTACTCTCTGGTAATCTAAATTTATCGGATAATGCTCTTCAAGCATCCAATCAAACACGTGGACGACGCTCCCGTGCGCGACGCAGCAACCACCATCAGGTCCGGCCCTGATGGCGGTTCCGTCTCCCGGAGCGATTCCTTTGACGGAATCGGATAAACGGAGACGGTTACCGTCGAATGGTCCCCATTTAGCTGTGCGTACGTGGTCGAGTAAGCCGTAGAAGGAAGCTTCTCTGTGAAGGAGACGCTCTGGGATGTTTGCGGGAACGTTGAGGTCTCCGGTACGGAGGAGATCGAGAAGGACGGTGAAGCAATCTGGGTTTCTGTCGATGAAGAGAACTTCTTCTCCGGACGGTGGAGACGGCGGCGAGAAGTTCCAATCGTCGTCGAATAGTGCGCCGAAGAAGGAATCGCGACCTGCGTTTGCGAGAGTCGTCGATGTTGTTTCGAAGATTCGACCACCAACGTTGAATTTGATCCTGTCTTTTGAGTTACCCATCAATGGAAGATGAAAAATTCTCCAGAATCAGGTGGAGAAAACGATGAATTCGGGATTTGAAAAGAAAAAAAAAGCAGAGAGCTTTAATTTTTGTTTTTTCCGATAAAGCTGGAAAATTTATCAATATTTCAGAATCAGTAATCATTAGCTACGGATAACTTTTTCTGTTCATAGCAAAGACAAGAAGCCACGAAAGATCATAAAGAGAGATACTCAAGAAGAACGAACAAAAAAAACTAGAATTTCGATCAAATTCGAAGAAATTGAGCTCTTGGCACGGGAAAGAAGCTGTTTCTGATTAATGGGGAAATCAAATTCAAAGAAAAAAATCGGATTTTTTATTTCAGAAGATGAGAAATCGAATTGACTCTCTCTCTCCGATTGAGAGGAAACGGGAAAGAGGCCGTTTCTGATTTATGGGAAATCAAATTTATTACATGATCTGGAGAAAATTTTGAAATATTTTCAGAAGATGTGAAATTGAATTGACTCTCTCTCTCTGTCTTTTGTCATTCCGTTTACACACAACAGTTGTTCTACATTTATACATTAAATGGAAAAACAGGTCCATGTGTGGGTCCTGTGTTGTGTTTTTTTTTAAGTTGCGTTGCTCATCTTTGAACCGTAGATTTAAGCGTTCTTAAGATATGGTTTCTGATCTAACGGTCGATATTTTGTGTAGTATATTGCTAAATCGGGAGAACATTCTCAGATGATCACACCTCATTGGTGTAATTATATTTATCTGTAAGATATTTTATTTATTATTTTATTTTATTTTTTTATATACACATCAACTTGAATTTGTGGAGATGCCAAGAAAAACCATAGTTTGTATGTTTTCGGGTAATTTAAAGTGCGATGTCCTTATCATTCAAATTAATTATTGACTTTCAAAATTATAACTTTGATATAAATGATAAGAGGAGACTTTCTGGAGTATTTTATCGACTTTTAAACAATTGTTCGTGTTAGTGGAACAGTTCAAATCAGATGATATATGTAATGATAAACAATCATTTGTGACTCATTGTATGACAAGATTATATTTTTATTCTTGTCATCAAGTTATTAAAAATCATTAGGATTCAAAAATTTATAATGGGATTAATCATCAGAGGATCAATCTACGCCAATAAAAATCTAAAAATATTTTGGTCAGAACGAGTAAATGAAAAGATAATGTAGGCAATTTATTATCTCTGAGATAAGAGAGGACCAAAAAGATTTATTGCATTGCACAAGGCTTAAGAATTGGCAATGCATTGGCGAAACTATTAATATCCACTCGAGTAAAGACAAAGCATCGGTTAAATTCGAAACATATTTATATAGTACGGAGTATAAATTAATTCATATGGTTCAGGTTTAGCAGTAATATATACTTTTAGTTGCACGATTTGAGACGGGTCCAAATTCCAAAATATTTATTCTTATAATACCAAAATAAACATCGGATATATTTCTTTACAAAGCAAGGAGCTAATTTATCTCTTAAGTTTCCGTTCACAAAATTAGTTACAATTTTTCGGTCTTCTTTCAAGTCTTGGCCAACCCAGATAACGATCTGCCCAACGTCGTTTTACTATTTAAGTATATTCTAATAACGATAGAAACATACTAATATCGACAAAACATAAAGATCATGTATCTAAAAGTTCAATAACGAAATAATATAACTTCAACATAAATCGAAGTATCGAACCAAACCATATACTAATAGGCTAATATAATAGCATATATATAATAATTGGTTAGTGACTTAGTGTATTTTTTTAAAGAGTCTATTTTTTTATTATGCAAGTTCAACGTCAAGGAGGGTCATGCGGGTCGTGGACGGCACACCAGCATCGGCTTCTTCTTCGTGTTTCGGTCCAAAACATGATTGGAGTATTATATAAACCATAGTAATGGTCAACAAAATGAGTTGAAACGTCATTTTTTGTACTTCCAAGGCACTCTTGTTAATTATTTGAATTTCTTATAAAGTTTGTTACCCCTCCTACCAAGGTAAACCGTGTACATTATCAGTAATAATAAGATCTTAATTCATTACTTTTTTATAAGTCTTTTTGACAGTATCACTTTCAATAACTACCATCGAATAAATGAGTCAACCTCTGTAAAAACTCTAGAAGACACCGAGGACAAGAGGTTTGACACTAAAAATTAAAAACGAATATAAACGTGCCTTGACCCATGAGTATATATACTCTTATTGTGAATGATAATAATATACTCTTATTATTATTATAAAAAATAAAGAATTATCATTAACAAAAAGGACTTTTTTACTATCTAATTATATTTACAAAACAATAGAACAATATAGCTATGCTATTCAAATAATATGTAAACTAACTATGACCCACTTAAAAATTACTAAAAACTCATTTTTCTTAACGTTATAAACATATGTTACCCATATTTCTTTATAAATTATACTATAATATATAATTTTTTTTCCGGACTATACTATAATATATAATTTTTTCTGGACTATACTATAATATATGTTTTTACACGAGAAGGCTTATATAGTATAATACTTGAGGTTCTAATTATATATCAGTTTTATATTAATATATTGTACTATATCAATTTTTGTATCGTACTATACTATTTATAAAATTAATTATTTCACATAATTTATATAATATGAGTCATCAAATAGAAATGAGAGAGGAGAGGAGGTGAGGGGAAGGGGAGGGAAATGGGAGGATGGGAAAGGAGAAGACAGGGAGGGGAGAGGATGGGAAGAGGAAGAGAAGAGATAGAAGACATGAAGGTAAGAGAGGAGAAGGGAAGAGAAGACGAGAAAAGAAAGAAGAAAATAGTAGTTTGGTATATATTGTATAAAATATAAAGTATATTATATCACCCTTTTTCATATGATTATTCTATTAATTTTAACTGGTCTTGTGGTTATTACAGTCAATTTTCCCTAACAAGAAGAGATCATGGAATGTTTAAAAAAAAAAAAAAAAATCATGGAAGGTAGTTGGGAGAAAATTACTAGGGTTGAGCGAGTCAATGCACATCTACCACCTTTGGTAAAATTAACACGTGTAACATATACTACTATCTGCAAGAAAAAAACAAACCTTTTTTAGTAACTTTTTATCTAGTGTATACATTTTCACTGTTTGTAATATTTTTCCTCTTTGGTCTATGTACCAACGTCATTTTGTCTCTCTTTGTTTTGAACTAAATATTTCATCTATTATATTCACACAAACCACTATCTATTTTTATGTATAAACTGTTAAACTGTATTTAATGGTTTTCTACCTCGACATATTTTCTTCAATGAAAGGGTTTTCTTGTTATATTGAAAGTAGATATATATATGTATATATATCCACTAATTTAAATGAAAATATTTAACATTGTAATGTTAATTTTTTTTTGTAACAAAGAAATCCTGGACCTGAAGTCTAAAAATCTTCACGGATCAGAGACCAGATCAAGTTAAACTCAATTTTAGTTTATTTATTTATTTTACTGTGTTAAAACAACAAAAACTAAAGATGCGTATTTTTTTCTTAGACCATCTCTAATACATTTCTTCATTTTCTACTCCAAAATAGAGTAACTCCAAAATGAAGTTGTGTTTTGCTCCAATGTATTTTTCTATTTTCTATTCTAAAAAGGAATATTCTAAATAGATTCTTATTCGATTTTATTATAAATATTTTTTGGTTTTAAAATTTACAAATAAATCCCACTTATTTTATTATTTACAATTTCTTTCAAAAACTATAACTTAAATATTTATTAAATAATGAAAACATAACATCACAAAAAACATATTTAATTTTTATTTAAACATTACTATTACTAAAAATTTATCATTAATATTTTTAGTATTTGTTGTCTTAAATTTATTTATATTGTTTATCTTAATTTCAACACTTATTAAGTATTTTAAAGTTTATAATATTTTGAATTTTTTTAGGAATAATTGCAGTGTTTAAATATTCATAATTATCAGTTTTATAATATTTTTTATAAATATTAAATAATATAAAATATAATTATTTTAAATCTAAAGGATTAATTTGCAAATAAAAAAGTCTAACTCCAAAATGGAGTAGAGTTTAGATCTACTCCAAATATGAAGTAAAATTTAGGTTTACTCTATTTTGGAGCTGAAAATAGAGTAGAGTCGGAGAAGATTTTACTCTAAAATAGCATTTAGAGTTAAAAATAGAATAGAGTTAGATATGCTCTTACACTATTTTTTTGTTTTATTCTAATGTATGATCTCGTTAAAAATGGCATGTTTCACGGCTACCTCTCCTACACTTGAAAGGATGTGTTTGATTTCGAAGAAACGCAAAATCAGTATCATGGTTCTGTTGCATTCATAGGATTAGATGGAGGAATAAATTTTGGCGAATGAGTTGGTTAACTTGTCGCGTTCTTTTTTAGTTATACTAAAAGTAATCGCAGAACCACTTAACCACCTCCACACCTCTTGCTTTTGCTTTTTCAGGTATTAGGTCAAATAACGCCAACTCAATTCATTTCTATTTATTTGTTTCTAAATATTGCTGGACGAGTTTTTCTATCTGATAAGCAAGCAATACGTAAGTTAATTTAGAAAAAAAAACTTAAACGCTAGTTGGTTAGTTTATTTACATTTATTGTCTAGGTAATTTAGCCAAATTAAACATTTGCTTTAGCCTCCAATTTTTTTTGTTTTTTTTACTTTTTTATATTAAATAAGCCATCAAATTTTTTTTAGCAGTTGCAATAAAGAGCTCCCAAATTTTATAAAATCTAATATTTTTTAATTTTATTTCTTTTTTGTTCTAGCTCCCAAATTTTCAGAACCGACCCGTAACTAAAAGGTGTCTGTAAATGAAGAAAGCATTCAAGATCTAATAATTAAATCCACTGAGGTTCAGCGACGTACTTAATTTTCAAAACATCCGTTAGAAATCAAATCAACTTTATTATAAGATTTTTTTAATCGGATGAACACGACTCTAAAATTAACCTTTAACTCATAACATCGACCAATTTTTACCTTGATCATACAGCAAAAAATGATATCTCTCTCGCCGAAAACTTATAAACTCCTAGTTTTGTTCTCTTAAACGGTCAAAACGTACGTTATATTGTCAATTTGTCATTACTTTTAATGAACACCAAGTAACAACTAACAACGTAGATATATCACGGCATTGGATAATTCAAACATTATCTTAAAAAGGTTAGAAACCTCTTTGGCTTAAACTCTTCAGGATCTTCCCAAGAGTCAGGATCTTCCATCACAGCATAAACATTGATAACAAGTTTTGTACCCTTAGTTATGTAGAACGATCCCTTGTTGAAATTCTCGTAGCAAGAGAGGCGCACTCTGCGCACGCGGCCGGGTGCAATCTTAAAACTTCTTTGATGACTGCTCGGAAGTAAGGAAATTTGGGTAGATCAGTCTCTTGAACCAACCTTTTTTTCACCATGGAATTGTTTTCTTCTCTCAATCTATCAAGGATCTTAGGGTTGTTGATGATTTCTGCCATCCTCCACCATATTGTTATTAAAGAGGTGTCGCTAGCTGCAAAGAAAAGGTCCTTCAATTGCAAATATCTCTAAATACATTATACAATGGTGTTTGTTAGATTATTAATGAAATATTACACCAACGCAAGGATAACTAAAAATCATTTACCGCGATTAATGTCTTGATATGGTTCCCACTGATCTTACATTCTGCATTTTCGTCTCGAGAAGCTGTGCCAACAATGTGTCCAGAAATTGGATTATAAAAACGAAGTATAATTAAGATGAATTTGTGACTGTTGTTGTATTATGAACGAAAATGTGTGTTGGAAAACAGAAAACAGAAAACAGAAAACAGAAAACAGAAAAAGTTAACCAAGCAAAAAAAAGGCATATAAATGAAGGTAAACCATTAACATGCATGAAGTGAAGTCACGTGTGAAATCATCTATCAAAGTCTCAAAGCCTGTGTTATCACTTTTCATTCATTACTTTTTCCCTGCTTTGCCTTTTCTTTTTTTAACACTGAACAATAATATTGAACTCGAAAAGTTTCCGAAGTAACATAGCCCGAAGGCTGAAACCGAGAGACAAAAGGCTAAAACAGAGAGTTCTAAAGCTGGATTTAATAGCTCACTTTTGTCAATGCAATTTTTCTAAAAGCCCATAACTTTAATATACTTCACTGGGCCTAAATAGGTCCACGGTGCGTCAACTGAAAATGTTGGTCCACTAGTCTCTCATTTCTTTTTGGTTCTTCCTTCTTTCCAATCTATATATATTAGCAAATACTATAAAGTACAAATACTATAAATACGAGGAAGTGACGATGCGTGTGAATGTAGAAATGATTTTGCCGGAAACATGAAGAAGTGTTATGATTCATGTAGAAAGGGCAAAACACATTTGTGGATCAAAGAAACCATCATTTCTCTCTTCACTCTCAACTCAAGCATTTTTGGTTTCTTCCTCCTCACACTTTTGACATCATTTTCAGTTATCGTTGATTACTACTTATTTAATTTGGTTTTCATCACCAATATCTTTCTACAAGATCTACTTTATATTGGCATGGCTTTGACATCCCAGGCTTTTCTAAGTGGAAATTGTGAACCGTTAAAATCAAATACGGTCATATAATATAACTATGTTAAGGACATATATAATTGAGTGCATATAGCATTGAATATATTGGTTGATGTGAGGCTCTAAGGAGAGAAACAAATTTTTAGTGTTTACATCAGAGACAAGATTCATTTACAAGAATGAAGAATGATACAAATAGTTGTCTCTGATGCAAACACTTGAGTAATATTTTTTTCGAAGGTGATTTTTTTTTTTTTGAGTAATCCCGTATTCCCTTAATTTTTTTTAATCAAGTGTCGTTTTTAGTATTTATTTTTCGTTTTATAAAAATAATGTCCTTTTATATTTTTAGTGCAAAAGTTTTAAAGAGAATTCCAGTTTTGCTGTAGAAAAAGTTGCAGAATGAATAAGAGATGCAGAGTAATCATATTTTTTTAATGTTTAATGTTAATTCTATAAAAAAAAATTTATTTATTATTCAAAAAGTTGCAGAGTTTTATAAAGAATTAAGAATGAATGGGGACATTAAATAACTTTTGAAGGAAATAAATATTTTGTCGGTAACTCGTTTTTTTTCATTAATGCAAAGTCAATGAAGTAAATGTTCTTTCATTTCTCATGCAATAGTTCTTTGATTCTCACAGGGTGAGGGATGTTACACGTCATTTGTACGCCAACGCCTTCTCTTACTCTTCATTACTTCTTTTGACTCTTTAAAGATTCACGTAGTTTCTAAATCTAATCACGATAATTAATATGTTATCTTAAAGTATCAAATTCATAATTAAATTCGTAGTGACGGAATTGATTTGTTTATATTCATTTCTTTTCAATAATTCAATGTTTTAATGTTTTTCGTTAAGAGTTTGAATTGTTTCACATATTTTGTAATTATAACTTAAACTTTTGAATCGAGAGGCTGGAAATACAGTTTGCACGTAATACTTGATTTAAGATGTTAAATTGTTAATTAAGTAAGGTATGTTTAACAGTTTAAGTCCTATTTGACCTATAACAATCAGAGTTATGACAATTATTTTCTTGTATAATCAAATGTTCAGTTCTTTTTTTTTCTTTCAACTATTCATATTTTAATGCATGATTGCATGCAATGTGCTAATGTTGATAAGCTGTTAATTAAAACCACGAATTGCATAAATAATTTTGAAACAGACCACAATTCACTACAATATATTAATATTTCTTTCTACATAATATATGTATGTGTTAGGAGATCTTCGAAATCGAGTTAGAAGGAAAATTGACATTTAATAGGTAAATTTCTTATTTAAAATAGATAAACTCTTTATTTAACAATTAAAAATATAATAAATGTTAATTTTATGGGTGTATTCAACTTAACATTTAAAAAGATTTGAGTCTTAATGAGTTCTTAGATGATTTTGGTTATATTATAGAAGTTGTTATGGTTTTTTTTTAAAAAATCTATGAAATCCTACACAAACCATGAAATTTAAATTTTTCTAACTTCAACTAGAAAGCTCTAATACAATATCATGAAATCACTATAAAATTCTTAAGATTTACTAATTAAAATATTTTTAATAATAATAAATTTAAAAATATATTTTCAAATTAGGAGTTCAATAACACTAAATTTTAAACAATTTTTTTAAAACTGTGTTTCCATAACAAATTATTTATGATTGTAAACAAATCACTCCAAATTACACTTTCCAACTCGATCTCCTAATTTCTAAGATCTTCTAACAGGCCCGGTCTAACTAAAATAGTGGTCCAAAACTATAAAAGAAAAGATGTAAACTTTATTTGGTCATTTTAAATTTGTGACCCATTTTTAAATTTTTTTCAAAATTTATAACCCATTTTTAACCTAATTTTTTCAAAAATATTGGTGGTCCTAAGCGCTGGCTTAGCCCGTTTACCCTCTGGACCGGCCCTGTCTTCTAACAGAATGCTAAAAAGTAAAAACACAGTATTGTTTTCCTAATTATTTTTCATCATTTTGTAAATAGAAAATAAACGATGGTGTTTTACATTCGCAGGTTAGTCCACCATGTCTAGCGCTATTGTTCAAAATCTTAATGAAAACTGCTATTTTGAATTTTTTTTGCAAATGATTACCTTTTTCATATTAAATTCTACAAGTAGTACCATTAATCCTATACGCAAAAAAAAAAAAAATGTAGAAAATTACAACCGACAATCTAAAAAGATAAAGATCATACTTTGTACACACCTTTAATGGCATGACAAGTTAAACCATCAATGGAGGAGATAAATTTCTCAATAAGTGCAAAAAGAGATCTTTTGAGGAAAAAAAAAAGAATCATAAAGAATTCTTATCAAATTAAGAAAGTGTTTTGCTTTTTATACATAAAATTTCATAGATTACACCTTTTTTGTGTGCAAATCATGGATCACACCACTTTAATAATTCCATGTTATAATCTATTTTTAGTCGTATTACAAAAAAAATTCCAGGCTTTTATAAATTTTCTTCATGATTTATAAATATTAAAATAAAAATAAAAAGTTTTTAGCTAGAGAGAGAAAAAGAAAAAGAAAAGTAAAATAAAAAAAAGATTTTACCCAAAAGAAAGAAAACGGGTTTTCAGTGAGAAGAATCAATTACTTTTTCAACTAGAAAAAGAAACCAATGATACTGTTTCTGAAATCTTAGAGAATGAATTCTCATTTATGAAAAAGCTTCAACTGTCTTCTTTTCTCTATCTCTCTCTCTCTCTTTGGCATTTCAGAATTTTCCAATTAAAATAAGTAGTCTTGTCATAGTCAGAGGTAGACGAAGCTTAATATTATATAATAATCTACTCAATGTTTACTTCCATGATGTTATGCAGTGACAAAAATGCTCCTTTTTCTTGATTTTATGTCCTTTTGGTTTCTCGTGTACTTGAGAAGCACCACAGAGTGAAAATAAACACTTTTTTTCTATCTTCAGATCTCTTGTCTTCAACTGCTTGAGCTTTCTGGGTTTTTGCATGAAGACCCTAAAGTAGCTTTAGTGAGATTTTGCTTTCTAATAAACTTTTCTGTGGGGAGAGATTTTTGTTGTTTAGCGCTTAAAGAGATTTCTTCAATGGGTCTTGGTTTCTGGGGTTATGCACTGATTCTTCCTCTGTTCTTGAAGCAATTTTCTTGCCAAGAACCAAACACAGATGGTTTCTTTGTCTCTGATTTCTTCAAACAAATGGGTTTAAGCTCTTCTCAAGCTTACAACTTCTCTGCTCCCTTCTGTTCATGGCAAGGCTTGTTCTGTGATTCTCAGAACGAGCATGTGATTGTGTTAATTGCTTCTGGAATGGGTTTATCTGGTCCAATCCCTGACACAACCATTGGTAAACTCAGCAAGCTCCAATCTTTGGATCTCAGCAACAACAAAATCTCTGCTTTGCCATCTGATTTCTGGAGTTTGAACACTTTGAAGAGTCTCAACCTCTCCTTCAACCAGATCTCTGGGTCTTTCCCTAGCAATGTTGGAAACTTTGGGCAGCTTGAGTCCCTTGACATCTCTCACAACAATTTCTCTGGTCAAATCCCTGAAGCTGTGGATTCTCTTGTTAGCTTGAGAGTCTTGAACCTTGATCACAATGGGTTTCAGATGTCAATACCAAGAGGACTTCTCGGTTGTCAATCTCTGGTTTCCATTGATCTCTCCTCTAACAGGCTTGAAGGGTCTCTACCTGATGGGTTTGGCTCTGCATTTCCAAAGCTCAAAACTTTGAACCTTGCAGGAAACAAGATTCATGGCAGGGACACAGATTTTGCTGATATGAGATCCATCACTTCTCTCAACATTTCAGGGAATCAGTTTGAAGGTTCTGCAACAAGTTTATTCAAGGAGTGTCTTGAGGTGGCTGATCTCAGCAGAAACCGGTTTCAAGGTCATATCTCTCAGGTAGACTCCAACTGGTTTAGTTTGATATACCTTGACTTGTCTGAGAATGAGCTAAGTGGAGATATCTTCAAGAATCTGACACTGCTAAAGAAGCTTAAGCACTTGAATCTTGCTTGCAATAGATTCAACAGAGGGGTGTTTCCGAGGATCGAGATGCTTTCTGGTTTAGAGTATCTTAACTTGTCAAACACAAACCTTTCTGGTCACATACCTGAAGAGAGCTCAGAGCTGAGTGATTTGAGCACACTAGATGTCTCTCGAAACCATCTATCAGGACATATACCGATCTTGAGCATCAAGAACCTCGTGGCTATCGATGTTTCGAGGAACAATTTGACTGGAGAGATACCAATCTCTATCCTTGAGAAGCTCCCTTGGATGGAGAGATTCAACTTCTCTTTCAACAACTTAACACTGTGTACCGGAAAATTCTCACCGGAAACTCTGATCAGATCCTTCTTTGGCTCTACAAGCAGCTGCCCTATCGCTGCAAACCCGACGCTCTTCAAGAGAAGACGATCAGCCACTGGAGTACTCAAGCTGGCTTTGGCAGTGACGCTTTCCGCTATGTTCTTGCTCATAGCAGCACTGGTCTTTGTAGCATTTGGCCGCAGAAAGAAACCAAAATCCGGCGAAGCCAAAGATGTCTCGTTCAAGGAGGAACAAAGCATTTCAGGTCCATTCTCTTTCCAAACAGATTCCACTACATGGGTTGCTGATGTCAAGCAGGCAAATGCTGTTCCAGTGGTTATCTTTGAGAAGCCATTGTTGAACATCACGTTCTCTGATCTCTTGTCCGCAACTTCGAATTTCGACAGAGACACTCTCTTAGCGGACGGTAAGTTCGGTCCTGTTTACAGAGGTTTCCTCCCCGGTGGGATTCACGTAGCTGTCAAAGTTTTGGTCCACGGCTCAACTCTTAGTGACCAAGAAGCAGCGAGAGAGCTCGAGTTTCTTGGAAGAATCAAGCACCCGAATCTTGTTCCTTTAATCGGATATTGCATAGCCGGTGATCAAAGAATCGCTATTTACGAGTACATGGAGAATGGTAACTTGCAAAACCTGCTTCACGATCTACCGTTTGGCGTTCAGACAACAGATGATTGGAGCACTGATACATGGGAAGAAGAAGATGACAATGGAATCCAAAACATAGGGCATGAGGGTCCCGTGGCGACATGGCGGTTTAGGCACATGATAGCACTTGGAACCGCCCGAGCATTGGCCTTTCTTCACCACGGTTGTTCACCGCCAATGATCCATAGGGATGTGAAAGCTAGTAGTGTGTATCTTGACCAGAATTTGGAGCCAAGATTATCCGATTTCGGTTTAGCTAAAGTCTTTGGAAGTGGACTAGACGATGAGATCACCAACGGCTCACCCGGTTATCTCCCTCCCGAGTTCTTGCAAACCGAACACGAGATGCCGACACCGAAGTCTGATGTCTATTGCTTTGGAGTGGTTCTGTTTGAGCTGATCACAGGGAAAAAGCCTGTTGAAGATGAGTATCTTGATGAGAAAGATACAGACTTGGTGAGTTGGGTTCGAAGTTTGGTTAGGAAGAACCAAGGATCAAAAGCTATTGATCCCAAAATCCAAGAGACAGGCTCAGAAGATCAGATGGAAGAAGCTCTCAAGATTGGATACCTTTGTACTGCTGATCTTCCTTCAAAGCGGCCAAGTATGCAGCAAGTCGTGGGTCTTCTTAAAGATATCGAACCTAAACATAATCAATGAAAACAGAATCACATTCTGAATCTCTCTGCAAACATCTCGAAAGTTTTTATTTCTTGACCTTCTTTTTACTGTTTTGCTTGCTCCCAAGTTCCTTATGATGTATGGATTGTTGTATATATGAGCTTGTTCTCTTTCACATCCAATCTCTTATGTTCTTGCTTCATTTATATATAACTTGTTCCAGCTTTAGCTGGAATGTAATTCAGATAATCACATGAATCTTGATCACAATTAAGAAACAATGAGTTACAGTTTCTATACTTCAAAGTAATAGAAAGAGAGCAACAAGCTGCAAATTAGGAAGAAGCTTGAGTACTTGAGTTCCAGCTTGAGTTTCCGTAGATGTAAGAGCTGAATCCCCAGAAAGTCAAGAGTAAAGACAGAATCTTGAAACCGCTCATCGGATCATGAAGCAATATAACAGCAGCTACGCTCGTGATTGGCACTCTCACGGCGTTAAGCACTCCCGCCATTACCGTGGACGCAAGAAACAAGACAGCGGTCGCTCCAAGAACGCCGAGCTGAAACGTGACCGCGCTCCAAACAAGAACCTGAGTGTACAGAGACTCTCCGCCTTTGAAGCTCTTAGCTTCTTGAGCCATCCCTTGGAAGTCTTTGCTCACAACCATCCCAAGAGTGGTAAACGCAAACGCTACTAGAGAAACCATGACTTGCTGCTCCAAAGCGACGTGGAAGAACCTTCTTCCGAGTAGTTTCACAAAGAGAAGCTCGGATAACGCGAAAATGAGCCCGTGAAGCGCTGATCCCATTATGTCCCAGAAGAAACCTGCAAAGTATTGGCGGTTGCTTACATAATCGTACCGATCAGAGCTCGAATCCAGAGCTATTATAGCCATAGCACCGGTTATAACCACAATGGAGTTGATAACCGAAGGGTTAAGCGGGTTTTTCACGATGAGATAGCCGAACAAAGCGGAGAACGCAAGCGAGGATGATGCAAGAAGCGAAGAAGTCGATGCAGGGAGGTATGCGTAGGCGTAAGCGTACATAAGGTTATCTGCAGCGCTCAAGAAACCGAGGATGATGTAAGAAAGAACAAGCTTTGTGCTGAGAGGTGTTGGTTTGATCTTTCGAAAGATGTATGTGGGAAGTAGGATGAGACAAGTGATTGGCCATCCAGCGACACAAACCCAAGAGATGATCCATTTGCTTTTGCCACCATTGGAGAAGTAAAGACGAGAGAGTAGACTAGAAGCTGGGAAAGCTGTGAGCATTGACGCACCACTGAGAATCAATAGGATCCAATGTGAAAGTGGCTTTGATTCGTAAGCTTCTCTTGTCGATTTCTTGACATTAGAAACCCAGTTTGAATACGAAAACGAAACAGATGGGTGTTCTGTTTCTTCATCCATTAGAAGCCCTGAACATTAAAGAAGCAAATTTGATCAGAGAAAGATGTGAAATTCTGCAAAAGTTTACTGCAATTTCTCAGAATGAAACAAAGTTTCAAAGAAACACAATCGATGAAGGGTTCAAGAATCGGAATCAACAGTCAGACACAAACACACTGGTGAAGATACCATCAAGACGAGTCTGATCTGAATCTAACAACTTAATCAAAACTTTTTGGAAATTCTCTAGTGAATTGAGACCATAATTGTCTCAGGTTCTCCCCTAAACCTGAAAAATCTCAGTTTTATCAGATTCTTATGATCTCTTATCTCAGCCCTAGCTTCACAAACAGGGTTGTTCAACAAGATAACCCATGAAGAAACAATCGATGAACCGTTACTATCAACAGGAGTCTGATCTCAATCTAACAATTAAAAAATCAAAACTTTATGAAATTTCTATAATGAAATTGAGACCAAAATCGTCTCAGGTCTTCCCCTAAACCATAAAAATCTCAGCTTTATCAAATTCTTATGATCTTAACTCAGCCCTAACTTCAGAAACAGGGTTTGTTCAACAAGAAATCCCAAACTTGAGAAACCCAATTTGGTGAAACTCAAGTTTTTGAGGACTATTATCAAATTCCTCGCGTAACCCAAAACTGAGTGACAAAAAACCAGAGGAAAAACGAAAACCCTGAAATGAGATTTAAGAGAAATACTCACTGACTGATAATTTGGACTCGGGATTATCGATGATCAAAGTTGTCATTTCTATAAACCTCTTCACGCTTTATTAGTGCTTTCCTTTTAAACCGTAATTATTCCGGTGGAGAAAGAATCTGTGCATGCGAACAGAGCTCATGAGCTTTTAGGAGTTCACGGATCCTAGCCGTTGGATTCGCTAAACTGGCTATTAACGGCTGAGATCTTGAGTTTGAGTTTTCTCTCTACGAAAGTGGTAGGTTTAGCAAAAGGCTCAAAAAAAAAGCAAAAGGCTCATATCCACACGTTCCGTTTACATGTTTCTGATTTATTGGGGATAATTGATGTAACGCTTTCTTATTTATATAAAAAAGATAGTTTTTGTCTCTTCTTAACCATTCCAATAATCTTAAAATCTCTACTTCAAAAACCAATAAAAATAAAGACATGATGGCACTTAATCCCTCATCACATACGACATATATACCCACCATAGGTGTTGGTGGGGAGTGGGGACTCCGGAGTAAATACTAGAAGATAACATGGTTTTTTTAATGATATCTGTGATTTGTTTTTCGTTTTATTTATATCAATAATTTCCAAATAGGAAAATTATCTGTGATTTCCAATAATTTATATCAATAATTTTCCTGTGATTCGGCATCTACATTGTATTCATTTAATTTGTTGTGTCAAAATATCAAAATGTGTTTTATGGGTTTTAAATAGCTTTAAAAAAAAACTAGAGCGTACCAACACGTGTTTTATGGATTTTTTTTTGTGTTTAGGGATTCAAACCTCTTTGGAACAGAGATATATTTTTTAAAATTAGAATATAAAAAGGATAACTTTAGGTACTAACGAACATTTTGGACCGAAGACCTAGAATTTTCATAGTTAATTAAAAAAAAACCTAAAACTCTTCTATACATTTTTAAATAGTTATGGGTAAAAAGGAACAAAATCCAGATTTTGAGTAATCTAACTCTAAACTTACTATTAAACATGTTTCAAATGAAGAAAAACATGTAGGAGGATGTATTCAACTTAACATTTGAAATGATTTGGAAGGATTTAAGTTTTAATGAGTTTTTAAATAATTTGGTTGAATTATGAAAATTGTTATAATTTGATATCAAAATTCTATCAAACTCCACCTAAAATAATGAGATTTGGATTCTTATATTTTTAACTAGGAAATTCCATCAAAACATCTTCAAATCAATCTAAGTTTCTTAGAATCCACTACTTAAATTATTTCCAATAACAGTGAATTTGAAGATATATTTTCAAATCACTAGTTTAATAATATTGAATTTTAGACAATTTTTTAAAATTTATGTTTCAATAACAGAGAGTTTGTGACTTTGATACAAATCACTCTAAATTTTATTTTAAATACACTCCCCGTAAAGTTATGTTGTAATATTTTCAAGCTAAGATTGTAATATCTTTTTTTAATCTCATTAACACAATCCCCATAAATTTTAATAAAAATTATCTGAATAACCAAATAACTAATTAATATCCATTTTGTTTTGATATATATGATTATTGATCATTAAGTATAAGTTTCAAATATTGATTTCATATATAAACCCATCTAACATTTTAAAAATTATCCCTTAAAAATTTATGACTGCCAAAGAGTATGACTTACGTTATTTGCTTCATTGAATCTTTCATCCAACATGCACCTCAGATGAAAAATAAAGAACTCGATATTGTGAGACTAGACAATCTTCCCAATAATCATATATTTTCTTACCTTGTATAAAAAAGACGTTGACTGTGGTCTATTTTATAGATTAATAATTTCTGGTTCAGACCCGAAGAAGCCTCTGCGTTGAGAGCCATTATCCGGATTCCAGAGCATCTTAAACAAACTCCTGAGTTAAATGTTGTCAATGTCTGAAGTAGAGAAAGTTGAGGAGTGTTGGAGATCTGATACCTTAAACATGGACTTGTTCCTTCAAATTTTCTAAAGATATGTACCCCAAGAAAAGACAGATGAAAAAATTGTTGATGAGTGTTGGAGATCTGATACCTTAATTGAAGAAATAGTTTTGGTCGAACTTTGTGCAATTGAAAAATTGTATAAAAAGTTCCATTAATTTGTTGTCATTCTGCCATTAGTTTGACTTTAGTCTACTATTAATTTGTATTTAGTCTACTATTAATTTGTATTTAGTCTACTTTCAGTTGTATAATAAATTAGTCTGTTATAAATCTATATTTAGAGAGATGTAACATTTGAAATAATTTGGAAGGATTTGAATTTTAATGAGTTTTTAGATGATTTGGTTGAATTATGGAAATTGTTATGATTTAATATTCAAAATTTTATCAAACTCTACCTAAAACCATGAGAAAATAACCACTCCAAATTTCTTAAAACTCACTATTTAAATTATTTTCAATAATAGTGAATTTGAAGATACATTTCCAAATCACTAGTTCAATAATACTGAATTTTAAATAATTTTTTTAAATTTATGTTTCAATAACAGAGGATTTGTGATTTTAATACAAATCACTCTAAATTCTAATTTGAATACACCCTCCTTAATATATCATTATAGTCTGAATGGAAAAATAGGTAGAAAAATAGTGTTGGTTTTAATAAAATATTTTTTAGATGGATCCATTTCTACAATTTTTCCGAGATGTTTATTTTTTTTGCATTATTTTTCCATTGTAGATTATTCTAGATCATTTCCTCTATAAATTATATTCATGGAAAAGCCCTTATTAATGATCTTAGTAAAACACAAGAGAACGCAAGCTCTTTATTTAATGTAATATGTAAGTTAGTCTAGGTGTACGGGATTAACTAATAAAGACAAGACACGATCAATAGTCTTTGCTTTGTCGGGAGAGCCGTGCCCATCACCATATTGATACATGCACTGCGACATGCGTGCCAGGTTTATTGCAGCTTCCATAAAACCCCGAGGAACTAGCGAGGAATCATTTGAAATTATCTCGTAATTCATCTCATTCCATGTGTCGCTGATCATCTGCTGCACGTACGCGCGCGACTTCTCTTCGGAAGCTCCCGTCTCATTCATGTAACACTGGATTGATTTGAGAACGTCTCCTCTTTTCAATTCATCCTATATACATCAATACACAAGCTCATATATATACACCATATAAGTTGTATGTATATTTGTTAAGATATGGACCACAGTTGCCCCAAAAAAAAAAAAGATATGGACCACTCGATCAAGTTTTCTCATATCAAGTTTCATTCCTGATCATTATGATTTAGCTTATCGTATGGGTAGGATATGAACCACTCAAGTCAATATTATTTAGTTTTGCGATAGAAACATGTGAACTTTCACAGTTTCACGCTCAATTTTTTTTTAATAATAGTTTATTCATGCAGATGATTAGAAACTAGAGGAGTAGATCGTTTACCGGCGAAGTTGCAAGGTCGTTGGCTAGGCGTAACACGATGGCAGAGCATCGGACGACGTGTTGTTGGTGTTGGGATAAAGTCTCCAGGACCTGACCAGAGATTTGGTCGGAAAAGACGCAGTAAAAATGGACTAATGAAGCTGGAGCCCAGATTGAAATCCAAGCATTTTGCATGTATTCTTCAACACTTGGTTTGTGTTTTCTTTTGCGCCACTTTGCTTCAACTAGATATGCTTTACACAAATCTTCCCACTTATTTTAAGATAATTATTAAGAATTATCAATTATAATGTCTTCTAATTAAAACCGGTAATTAAAAAAAATGTGTGTATATATATACTTACCGCTTTTTTTAGGAAAGGAATCACATTAATGTTTTTATCTTTGAGAATATCACGTCCAATGCTATTTGTTTCATTGTACAATACTAGATAACACAGCTTCATGTACTCGGGAAGTTCATCAAGCCGATTTATATCCCAACTGCAACACACACACACATATATGTTACAATCCAAAGTCTGTAAAGTTTAATTAATAGACCAAGAGAAGAAGAACCTGAGTACTTACTTTTCAACCATGGTAGTGAATTGTTGAAGTTCATCAAGAGTGCCATATACATCGTAGATGTCATCAATGGTTGTGATGAGTGCATTTATTTTAGTTATAATTCTTCGAACGTATCCAAATTGAGGCTCTTGGATTTGTCCAACAGTCCAAAAATAATTCTCCACTATTCTGTCTCTTACAAAGTGAAGTTGACTACTCAAACCAGTCTCCCTCCACCAGCTTCAAACACATATAAAAAGGTGAAGAAAATAAAGAATATACCGTATATATTAATTTGTTGTGAATCAATATATTGGTTATATTAATCATTATTACCTTGAGAGGTCTTTGAGTTCTTCTTGATGAACAGCTTGTACGATATTAAAATCGATTTTGGCGAATTCAATTAAGACATTATGTTTACTGTACGCATCTATGTACCGTTTTGTTTCTAGCCTTTTCATTCTCCAATGGTACGGCATCTCTAGTCCTTCGACGGCCATCTCAAAGAAATTTTTATTGTAAATATTATGATCATGATTATCAATAAATTTTCTTAGCTGATGGTTTGCATAAGCCCTAACGACTTTATGCAATTTAGTATCCGATTTTGTCGCAAGATAAGATGCTTCGTATAGAGAGATGAGACCTTTTATATCACCACTCTCAAACGTACCATCTTCCATTTTGTTGATGAACACATCAAATATGCCTGAAAGAAACGATCTATTTATTAACATGCATGAAATTTCAAAAGTTAGAAATTAGATTTTTATTTATCTTGACCATGGTACTAACCTTCTGAGACATTGAAACCATGTTCTCTAAGGAGTCGAAATTTGAGTGCGGTGGCATGTAAATCTTCTTTGTCACATTCTCTAACATTTTTGTGATATAACTCCGTTAAAATTTTATCAATTTCATGCTGAAAATGATACGAGACCCCGAGTTTCTGTAATTCGTCGATGAGCTCTAATTGATCAAGCTGAGTCGTCGTCGTCTCATCATCAAGCATCTTCCTCACCTTTCCTTTTAGCAAATCTCTATCTCTTACTCTATTTTCTCTCTGTGTGGGACGTATTACTATGTTAGCAAATACATAATTTTATTTTTAAATAGCAAATATAAAGAATACGACCATATACTCGTATACTTAGAAATACGTACATACCGCATAGATATTGTCTAGCGAAAGAAGGAAGTTGTAGTCCCAATGAGAAGGCTGATAGTTTGCTGAGCCTCGAAGAGGTTCAACAGTAGCACTAACCGTTTTGGTCGTCATTGATTTTAATGCGAAACGCCGAGAACTTCGAGAAGTAGGTGGAAGAGAAATATGGTAAATATGAGTTGAACCAATAAATAAAGTAGCCATTGAATGTTATAACTTAGTGTTGCTGACAATTTGATTAACACACTCCACTCATTCTTATACAGGAGGGATGTTGATGTAGGGTAAATATTCGTTTGGATGTTCATGTAGGGTAAATATTCGTTTGGCAATGTTTGGTGGGAAAAGTAAACAAGTATATATATATATGTATATATATATAGTATACCTTTTTGTATGCTAATCAAATGTCAGCTAATATAGTATACAAATATAGTCCATCTTTTTTTGGGGTAGATATATTCATATGCTGTCGATGGGCAGCTCAATTAGTTGACACTTGATACTAATCTGACCATACCATATTAATAATATTATAGCTTAGTTTATATATTAATTGGTATTGGTTGTTAGAGAAATGGCTGTATATATAAAGATAAACAATGTGCTTAATTAGTGAATTAACTCATAATGTACATTGTTTATATTTATATTACAATCAACCATCTCGTTAACACCCAATAAATAACTACTAAAATCAGCTATAATATTCTTAATAACCACTTGGCATGCCAGGTTTCAAGATCTTTAAGATTGGAATCAATCAAGATCACCAATTCACAAATCCTACCGGAGATAGATCACTGAAGACAATGTTAGTTTTGATGGGACTGTGCAACTGTCATTGATTCTAGGGTTTGAGTTTCTTTTCAAGATCAAAATTGAGGATTTAGATAATTTCATTATATATATACTAAAGATATCGTGAATCTAATGATATATGTATTAAAGATATCGTGAATCTAATGATATCTATAATATAAAAGATGGCCATCTCTCCAGTTGAGTGCCACATCAGCACATGAGAGAGTGACATTTATCATTTTAATTTTTGTAATTAATAAATTATTATTATTATGTAATTAAAGTTAGACTAATTAATTATTTGGTTTTTAATTGTGTGCTATTTAAATATCTTTGTTTTGGTTTTATATGTTTGATAAATATATATTTTAATTTATTATTAATGTAATGAGAAGCTCAGAAAAATAATCAGAATAAAAAAAAAAAATTAAGATTTGCAGCGTGATATGTGACCGAAAAAGTAATGATTAGAAATGTTTAATTAGTCTACGCCAAGAACAAATACGACCTGCTAAAAATAGTCGTCTCTACTTATATTGTGATTTGAAGAGTTTCTCTAATTATTTTTTTTGTTATATAGTACTTTTTTAAAACACACTATATCTATTTAATTTATTTTATATATACAACGCATAACATATTTCACATTTCATGATCAGTAAACTATTTATTACATATATAGTCAATATCTACATAATACGTTTATATATATTGCATGTTTATTTAAATACACAACATCTTTAAGTAAAATTTAAATATACGATAAAATAAATTTTAATTAAACTTTTTAACAAACTATATTATAAAACAAAAATCCGCGCATCGCGGGGATACTCATCTAGTATGTACTAAAGATATCGTGAATCTTATGAAGGCATTACGAAAGTAGAAGAGATGTTAACATTTAATACATGTAAGCACATTTTGAAAAAAAATCCAACTGAAAATTGGGGACTAAATCGTTTACCGAAGAGTCAACGTTGAACAAAATTAATAAAAAATATTATTATAATTTATCAATTTCTATGTGAATAAAATATATGTTTATCACATATAAATGTAATGTTTTTATTGGTTATAATTCTTTGTGTGAAATTAACATTATTCACACTGAAAATTTAAAAAGTTTTTCCCTTTTAAAATTTTTTTAAAAAAACTTATAAAGTTTTTGGCTAGTATATATAAGGAATTACTGAAAAAACCTGTAAACTAAATTAAAATTGCAAAATCAACCCTTAAATAATTGTAGGTCAATCCCCTCACCTCAAATGTTATCCGCAATATAACCTCTCCGTTAAGTAGGTATTATATCAGTTATCAAATTTTAAACGCTGCATTTCGTGTAACGATAAATCAAGGAAAAATCATGTTGTTTTCATTAAATAGTTAAGTAGTGCATTATATGAAAGCATCGAGAAAAAGGAATTATGGGAAATTTAGGGTTTAGGTCGATATCAGAAAAAGTCGAGGCATTGATTTTCTACTGCTGCAAATTGAGGCATGTATATCAAATTTGTGTTTGTTGGTGTGAGGTATAATGTGTAAGGCAATGATTATAGTGTTCAGTTGTGGATTAAAAGTAAAGATTAAATCTCATTCCTCCCTTTGCAATTATTTGTTTAGATTTTGATTTGTGACTCCGAAATTTGATTGGATTTGGAATTCTGTCTGGGTACTTTGGATTTTGAATAGATTTTGGTTTCATTTGGAAGTTAGTCTCTGATATGAAATTTGGATTTGTGGAGTTTTTTTTGTTGTGCTTGTAAAATTTGTGGGTACTTGTTGTCAAGTTAAAGATGGGGAGGATTTTCAGTTACAGTTAGAGCAACTCTTCATCAAAATTAAGTGTTAGCTTTAGAGTTCGGCGAGAAGGTCAATCTGGGATACCGCGCAAGTGTTTGTGTGGAAAGGAAGTGGTGCTTCTCACCATACATACATACCCCAGAAGATTATTTACAGATGCAGCTCTAAGAACACATTGGTAAGTCTATTTTTTTGTTATTTGAACTTGTATTATGACATAGCATTTGATTTGTAAGCTTGGAGATTGATGTGTAGGATGACCGCTACCACATTAGGAAGTGGTGGGATGAAGCTATGATGGATGAGGTAAACAAGCTTATTGAGAAAGTGGACGAGCTCACCAATTGGATGCGAGTTGAGTGTGATGAGAATTTAGAGAGATTGAATCAGCTTGTTACCACACCTGAAATGGACACGATGCGTCATAATATCAAGAAGGTTGTTGATGAGATTCAACAGCTGAAGGAAGCAGCAAGCAAATCAGAAGGTAATTTGCTCCAGTTTAAGATGGTTGTGGTGTTCAGTGTTGTTGTCATCCTTCTCATGGCTTTGGTTATTGTCCTCCTTGTGAAGTAGACATGGGTGTTGTTACCATCCTCCTCTCAGTGTAAGACCCTTTGTTTTGAAAACATTGAAAAGGGCTTTTAATATTAATGTATTAAATGAATGAAGTTATGTTATGCTTTGTCAGGAATTTATGTTATATGATATGTAATGAATTTCTAACATTTAAATGCAATGAGTTAAAAGAGTATTGATAAGGGTATTCATCAAAAAGTGTTAAAAAAAGTTGAACATAAAATTTAAAATTAGAGGGTCAAACCATCAAGCTCATGTACTCGCGAGATTGGGGTGTTGAACCTTTGAACTCCTCAATACACGATTAGTTCATTTACCAACCGTGCCAATTGATTTAATTGTTGTAGCTAGATATTAAAACAATATAACATCTAATTAAGGTATCTCGAAAGAGTTACATTATAAAGCCAGAGTTGTTGACTTTCAAAATAGAAGGAAAGGAAAATTGTTCTATTAAGGTTGATGATAGCTTAAGAACGCCGAGAGAGATAGTGCAGTGATATATCATGGTTTTTAACCATAATATAAGTCTTTTTTATTGAGTTTTTTTGGTATTTTTAGAGTCTTAGAAGAGTCTTTGCAGGTTATAGCATGTCTGGAGCATAAATGGAGATATTGAAGCTTTTTGGAGCATTACAAGTTGAAGCCACGAAGTATCCAACTCGGGAAGAAAAATATGCATATGGGTGACGCTCGTCACCCAGAAAGGAAGGGGTCGTGGCTGTTTTCTAAAAGATAGAGGATTATTTGCAGTTTTGGCTCAGAAGTTCTAGTATTTGCAAAAAGACCCCATATCGTGTTTTAGCTTGTATATTAGGTTTTTCAGCCATTCTTTTGGCAGATATCTTGTATCTTATTATTCTTTTTAAGAGCTTTAGAGAGAGATTTGTAGCAGAGCTTTTGAAGAGACAAATCATACTCCTTCAGAGCAGATTTTGAACTCCTTTACTTTCTACTTCTTATTTCTTTTATGCAATCTATTCTTTTCATGATGTTTCTCAAATCACCATGTCTGAGTAGTTTGTTAGTTAAGTTATGGCTCTTCAAAGGTTGAAGAAGAGTTTGTAGAATTGCTAAAAACTTATAGGAAATTCATTGGTTCTTCATCTGTGCTTGCATTCATATCAATTTCTTAGACACATCATCGCGATTTCGAAACCCTAGGTTTTTGATAGATGTGAGAGCATTATTGATCATCTGAACTAGTATTAGATGAGCAAAACACCTATTTGCAAAGACATTTGGCTTAGGAGTTTTGTGAACAATTGAACCTGATCATTACTACATGTTTAGGTTGTTAGGGTTTGCAAAGAGATTTGAACCTCTGTGATTTAGGCATAGTTAACTTCTGCTATACCTTTGTGATTCATGTTCAAGACAGTTTTAACTCATTCCTGATTGCATGCATTCTACACTCTCAGATTCAACCTGTGAATTATCCTGACTTAGCGCCTTTAACTTTCTGAACTTTAAGAACAAGCATAAAACGCCCACTTGCATTTATTTTACTGTTTCGCATTACATACATTACTTATTGCTTAGCTTAATCCGAACCTGAACTCTTTAATGTAGTTTACTTACTCTCTTGGGATTCGATAACCCCTTGTAATAGCTGCCTATCGATTTTTAGTATTAGGATTTTGTCTAAGTTTTAATTTGTTTACTAACTTTTTGCTACTTTTCTTTGTTCCTGTTTCAGGTGTATGCCTAATCGCAGTACCATAAGCAACAAAGGGAAGGAGCTTGTGACTTTGAGCATCGACGAACTCACTAGGTTGGAGAGAACTAACAGGAAAGCTAAGAAGCAATCTACAATGGTCGCTCCACTTATCTTGGTTGAAGATGCAGAAGGTCACTTGGTTGACAGAGAAGGACACATGAGGAACGAAGAGGGGCAGAGGATTGATCAAGAGGGGAATGTCATTGTTGAACAGCAGGTTCAACAAGTGGATGAGAACGTTGGAGTCCCTGTTGCTGCTAATAACGCTGCTGGGCGTTTTGTTCAGAGGACTCTAGGTGACTGCAACAGACCTGATCAGTTCTATGCCAACAGAGCTGCAATCCATCCTCCTGCCTTTCAGAGGAACGATTTTGAGGTTAAACCTGTCTACTATCAGCTGGTTGGCCAGTATCCATTCCACGGCTTACCTCATGAGTATCCTATGGATCACATTGAGAGGTTTGAGAATTTAGCTTCCAGTGTCAAAGCTAATGGTGTTAGCAATGACTTTCTGTTCTGCAAGCTTTTCCCTTACTCTCTTGAAGGAGAAGCTGCATATTAGCTGAAGCAACTGGAACCTGCTTCATTGACCACTTGGGAAGACACTAAGAATGCCTTTCTGAACAACTTCTATGATGATGCAAGATCAGAAGACATGAGGACAAAAATTGCATCCTTTACACAAGGCCCTACTGAAGCTTTTAAGGCTTCTTGGATCAGGTTTAAGTCTTATCAAAGGGACTGTCCTCATCATGGCTTCAGTCATGTGCAATTACTTGGGATCTTCTTCAGAGACATTGACTGGAAGTACCAGATGGCGCTGGATGCAGCAAGTGCAGGAAACTTCAACACCAACAGACCAGAAGAAGCAATCCGTTTGATTGAGAACTTGGTCTGCAGCAACAGCACCAAGAATGCAGATTTTCAGAGAATGAAACAGGGTGGTTTGAATGAAGGAAACCAAATAGCTGAGGTTAAGGCTAAGTTAGACAATATGCACAGCCTTTTGGCAGGAAAGAAATCAGTCCAGTTTGCTGCAGAAGTGGACACTTTCAAAAATTCTGAAGATTTTGAGCAAAAAGATGTTAATTTCATCAATGGAGGTTTTCAGAACCAAAGGTTTGGAAATCAGCAGTGGAACAGAGGCTACAACAGCAATAATCAGAAGAATACCTTTCCAGGAAACCAGAATGCAACTGGTTATACTCCAATACCACAGTTCCAGAAGACTGAAGTTGAGAAACCTTACCAAAACAGCAGGAATTATGGTTCTTCTTCCTATCAAACTGCACCTCTACAAGACACTAAGATGGAAGCTATGCTGGAGCAGATACTTGAAGGACAGCAAAAGATGACAGTGAACTTCAATGGCAAACTAGATTCGCTGTACCAAGACCTGAATGGAAAAATTGAGAGTCTGAACTCTCACATGAAGAAGCTTGATGTGCAGGTTGCTCAAACTGCATGAGCTGTTCAAAGGCAAGAGGGATTCCTTCATGGAAGGACTGTCATCAATCCCAAGCATCAGGTTAATGCCATCACAATCAGGAATGAAAAGGAGCTTAAAACAGTGCAGAAAAAGAGGTTGAGTGCAGAACAGATTGTGCAACTCATGGAGTTTGAAGATGAAAATTTTTCAGTCTCAGAGGTGAGTGACGAGCGTCACCAAGGAGGAGTGATGCTCGTCACCAACATACAAGAGAATCGGGGGTTGTCACAGGTGAGTGACGAGCGTCACCACCCTGGTGACGGTCGTCACCCACCCCAGATCGAAGCTGCTTCGCCTGTAACTGCAAATAATGGCCAGGAGCAAGTGTATAAACCCAAAATACCATTCCCTAAGCATGCTAGGAAGTCTAAACAGGAGATAGAGGAAGCCAGATGCAAAGCTATGATAGACAAGCTGATGGTTGAGATGCCTCTTGTAGATGCAGTCAAGCTGTCACCAGCTCTAAGAAGGTATGTAAAGAGAATGGTTGTGAATGGTGTAAGTCCTGAGGAAGGAGCATTGCTTACCAGAGACATCAGTGCAATCCTCTTGAGTACAATTCCAAAGAAGAAGAAGAAGGTGCCTGTTTCTAAACAAGTCAATGCCATCATTCAAAGCAGAGTTCCAGAGAAGCTATCTGATCCAGGGACCTTTGTTCTTGATTGCTCAATCTCTGCAGGACGTTTTCCCTACTCTCTATGTGATATAGGATCAAGTATTAACTTGATGCCTTTCTCTGTTGCTGCTAGACTTGGAATGACTGATTTCAAGCCAGCTGGGATCTCTCTCATCCTAGCAGATCGATCCTTAAGGACTCCAGAAGGCATGTTAGAGGATATTCCTGTTAGCATTGAAGGCTGCATAATTCCTACAGATTTTGTAGTTCTGAAATATGCAGAAGAACCTAAAGATCCTCTTATTCTTGGGAGATCATTCTTGGCTACTGCTGGTGCCATCATTGATGTGAAAAAGGGGAAGATAAAGCTTGATTTGGGTGATGTTGTCATGAACTTTGACATGGATAAGTTAAGAGGAAGTTCTACCATTGATGGTCAGACCTTTTCTGTAAGGACTTCCAGAGATGAAGAGAATGCCATGGAACATTCAGAAGACACTACTGTTGGGTATGTCATTGAAACTGATACAAGTGGTCAAGTGAACAAGATGGCTATTGAAGAGGCAATATCTGAAACTTCTGGAAAAGCTGTTAGGTTTGAGGATTAGAGTGAAGATGATACCTTCGACATTAGGCTCGAAAAAGAGGTTCCAATGAATGCCAAGTTGCTGGAGGAAGACGTGTTTGTGATGGAAGCAAGACTTGTAGAGCTGAACTACAAGAAAACTACAGACACTCGACCTGCAGTGTCAGTGACGACCGTCACTGACCTGGTGACGCTCATCACCAACCTGGACACAAAAGAGCGACGTGATTTTTCAGCTACAAGTCCATCTTATGTTGTCAAACCGAAAATTCAACATTCCACAACCCAGAAACCTGCAACTAAACAAAGGTATGCACTTCCTGGAACCAGTTCCAAACCTCCTAATCTCATCAATAAGAACTTAAAAGGTGAAAAAGATGCTTCACACTTATGCAAGCAATGAGATTCTTGTGGAAACTTTGGTGTTTCTTTTGATGATTCTGCAGGAAAAAAAGTGTCCCACCCCCAGTCAAAACCCGCCCTACTGATGTTCCTCACTTCCTTGGAAGTGTTCATGCATCCACTGCTTATACACCACCATGGATGAGGAGACATTCTTCTGCAAGACATTCAATGCCACCTTCTGTTCCACCAGCTGTGTGAGCAGCATTCAAAGTCGAGCTAATGACTTTAAACAAGCGCATAATGGGAGGTAACCCACTAGTAAGTTTTCTTTTTCATATATGTATTTTAGTTTTCTATTACATAGCTAAAAAAAACCCAAAAACATGAGAAAAATAGAAAAAAAAAAGAGTCAGTATGTCAGTTTGCT